CCCTGACAGTTCTCAGTGAAACATAGGTGATTCCACAGAACCAGCCAGGCCTAGCTAGCTGCATGTAAGGCAAGTGCCTTCCCTCTCTGCGATCTCTTTAGCCTTCTAGATATGTTCAGATCACATGAACGCAAGACAAAGAGTTAGTACAGCAGGCAGGTGCCACTTCCCTTGCACGCGGTCAACCCAGATTCAATCCCCAGCACCCATCTAGTCCCTCCGAGCCCACTAGGAGTGATCCCTCAGCACAGAGCCAGGAGGAAGCCTTGAGCACAGCCGGGTGTGGTCCCACTGCCCTGCATCCCAAAATAGACTATATTTATGTGCTCTGTGATAGTCCTCCACCTAAATAGAATCATAAGTCATGCAGAACGTTTTTGTCAACAAGAAGCTGCTTGGGGGCTGGAGCGACAGTACAGTGGGTAGAGCGTTTGCCTTGCACGCGGCCGACCCAGGTTCAATCCCCGGCATTCCATGTGGTCCCCCAAGCACTGCCAGAGAGCAGAGCCAGGAGTAACCCCTGACCATCACTGGGTGTAACCCCAAAAGCAAAACAAAACAAAACTAAGAAGCTGCTTAAATAGTGGGGGTCAAAGCTCTGTCATCATGGCAGTTTTGGGGGCCACACCCAGCAGTGATCCTGGTGGTGCTCAGGAGACCATAAGGAGTGCCAGGAATTGAACCCTGGTCAGCTTCATGCAGTGTACTCACTCTCTGGCCCCATCAGAGCATTTCACTCTAGCCTCCTTCATCTCCAGTTTGCCCTGTCTCCTGAAAGCATCATTTTCCTTCAAGCTTGATTGAATCTCTTGGTGCTGCTCTGACCACCAGGACACCTGTGTCCTGAGCTCCATTGCCAGTGCTGCGAGAAAGAGGCGCCCCCTGTGCCTGACCTGGGGCTGGCATGTAAGAAGCAGCCGGTGGAAAACCAGTCAGCCACGTTCTGGGCTGGAAGCAGAGTGCAGCGGGGAGGGTATTTGCCGTGCTCCAGGGATTAGTGGGTAGCAAGGATCAAACCGGATCACTGGCTGCAAGGCAAGTGCCTTCATCCTGATACTGTCTCTTGAGCCCCAGTCACCAGTTTTCTAGACCAGTGGCTGGCGCAGGCAATGTCTGTCTCCCGAGCATGTCCAGGGGTGCTGCAGTGGCTACTCTAAGCCATGCTGGAGGCCAACTCAGAGGATGGTTCAGAAGCTGGAGAGACAGTTCAGGGGGTCAGCTGCTTGCCCTGCTTTTGGTTGACCTGGTTCAATCCATGGCACCCCATATGGTCTCCCAACCCCTACAAGAATGATCCCTGAGCAGAGCCGGGTGTGCCCCACCCCCAAAACCAGAACAATAAAAAAGAATGGCTCTCTGCCAGCCACACCTACACCCGACAGCGAACACCATGCCAATGGCCCAACTGCACTGCTTCCCAACTCTTCTCGGCAGAGATACCAAACCAGCGGAAATTCCAGGTACTTGAGTTTTCAGGCTGAGAACTCTAGGGTCTTCTCAAAGTGGGGGTGAACAGCCTCCCCTCACCCCCATACTTCGGATGTTCTGGCAGCCACACCCACATCACATAGCAGTTGTCATGTAAATTCACTGGTCTGATTCTGGAGTTTCTGGAGCACACACAACTGTAAACATCACCATGTGACACTTCCGAATGCCACAGTACTGACATCCCAGTAGGAGCACACCAGAGGAGATGGGAAAGTAACAGAGAAGCCAACTAAGCTCAATAAACAAAAACAATAACACAGCAACAAACAGCTTAGCAAACCCTCATACAAGGACTTAATGACCCTATGGTGTGAAATAACAATTTTCACAAATTTTCTTTGACTGAAATATTTCTTTTTTGGTAATTCCACTAGCCGTTTCTAGTGGTATGTAGTGGTAATGAGCAGTATAAAATAAATGATTTTGTGCCTGCTAAGGGGGTTTTGGCAGGGGTGGTTGGGAAAATGGGGACAACGGTGGAGAGGTCACTCTGGTGATGGGGTTGGTGTTGCAACACTGAATGTCCATAACAACTTGTATTATGAACAGTTTTGTAAGCCAGTGTTTACATGAGAGCTTAAAAATAAAAAGAAAGCATGGCTCAGTGACTCATCCATGGCCCGGGGACTATCAGGACTATATCTGGACTCGTCCAGGGCTCTTGAGGGCGATGCTGTGCAATGCATACCACAGAGAGGTTCAGACTTGGGCTTGTCGGCATACCTGGCATATGTCAACCCTACCCCAGATCTCTACTCGACCTCTTTTTTTTTTTTTTTTTTTTTTGCTTTTTGGGTCACACCTGGCAATGCACAGGGGTTATTCCTGGCTCTGCACTCAGGAATTACTCCTGGCAGCGCTCAAGGGACATTATGAGATGCTGGGAATCGAACTCAGGTCGGCCGCGTGCAAGGCAAACGCCCAACCTGCTGTGCTATTGCTCCAGCCCCTCTATTCGACCTCTTTAATATTTTTTTGTAATTCCTTTTTTTTTTTCGTTTTGAGTCACACCCAGAGATGCTCAGGGGTTACTCCTGGCTCTGAACTCAGGAATTACTCCTGGCAGTGCTTGGGGGATCTTATGGGATGCCAGGGATAGAACCTGGGTTGGCCACGTGCAAGGCAAACACCCTACCCACTGTACTGTCACTCTGGCCCTGTAATTTCCTTTTTAATTTTGTTTTTGGGTCACACCCAGTGGTGCTCAGGACACAGTCCTGACTCTGCCCTCAGGAATCACTCCTGGCAGGGCTCAGGGATCATATGGAATGCTGAGGATTGGACCCGGGTCGGCCGCACGAAAGACAAAAATGTACTATTCTCTTCAACTCCGGCCTGAAGGCCAACACCTTGTCAGAGTGTCTTCATGACAACGGAAAAATCACTGTGGTAGTAGATTAGAGAGGATTTATTTCAACCTTTCCATGCCTGTTGACTGGCCCTCGGGGGTAGCATTAGATCAATGATTCTCAGCAGGGGACTGGTACAGCCTGCTGGGGTCCCCCAGGATATTACAACAAGGTCATAGTGAATACTTAGTAAATAAGGGGGAGGCACAGCACAAGTTTAGGGGGGCTAACTGGCACGACAGAATCTAGGAAGGAGTCAAGATGGGAAGGTCCACTGGAGGGAGAGAGCTTGAGAGATGCCAGCTTTGAGTCTGTGGCTGCTCGTCCTTTGGGGTCACAGCCTGATTTTCAGCAGATAAGACTGAGGTTTTCTTTTCTTTTCTTTTCTTTTTTTTTTTTTGGCTCTTTGGGTCACACCCGGCGATGCTCAGGGGTTACTCCTGGCTCTGCACTCAGAAATTACTTCTGGTGCTCGAGGACCATATAGGATGCGGGGGATTGAACCCACGTAGGCCGTGTGCAAGGCAAATGCCCTACCCTCTGGGATTATACTACAGTTCAAAATACTATTGTACTATAGTTCTGGACCCTGGGATTTTCTTTTCTTTTATTGTTATTTGGGCCACCCAGAGGTGCCCTGGGCTGAGCAAAGAGCCTGGGGTGGAACATTGTCTGGGGTGGCCCAAACCTCTCCCCCTAGTTTTGGACCCTGGAGTTTTCTTTTCTCTTCTTGGTATTTGGGCCACTCCCAGAGGTGCTCTGGGCTGCTCTGGGCTCTCTGCTCTGGGCCGTGCTCTGGAGGTCATGTAATGCCAGAGTCAGAACCTGTCTTCTTGCCTGTGAAGCAAGAACTGCAGCCTGAGAAGGATTTTCTCTGGCACCTTCCAGCCAAGGAGAAGTGATGTCATTACTGAACTCAGGTATTTCCTAGGGCCATATGCGGTGACCACTTTCTAAAGGTCAACAGCAAAAGGCTGCCCTGGCTCAGAGCTTTTGTGCGAGTCGATGCCACCAGCTTTTACCCGGGTACCCTGCGCTGGCTGCACGTGGGAACTTCGCCTGAGCTGTCTTGCTTCCAGGTGCCCAGGGCAGGTTTCGCAAGCAGAGGCAAAGGGTTTGTCGCAGAGTTGCTGCACCTTGAAAGGCTGGGGTGGGGCCGGGAGATGGCTCAACAGACTTCGAGTGGAGGAAGCACAGGCTCGTGTACTCCCTGGGGGAGACCCCTCAGCTAAGAGCCTGGAGTGGAGCATTATCTGGGGGGGGGCCAAACCTCTCCCCCTAAGAAAGGCTGGGTGTCCCTGGGAGCTTTAAATGCCCCCCAATCTAGATGTCTGCTTGCCCCAAGCAGGATCGGGTGACTATAGGTGACTAGTCATAGTACAGCAGGTAGGAATGAGGCTTGCCTTGCTTGCACAAGCAGACCTAGGTTCGATTCCCCGGCATCCTATATCATCCCCCGAGCACCGCCAGGAGTGATCCCTGAGTTCAGAGTCGGGGGTAAGCCCAGAAGAGCGTCGCCGGGTGTGGTCCCCAAACCCAAAGAGAAAGTGACTGTGTAGGGCCTGGGGCCAGGCGCCAGGTAAGAATCCGCCCTTGCAAAGGAGCACGAGAGGAGGTGGCGGGCAGCCTCGGGAAACTGCTTTCCCTGCTCCTTCTGTCCCGCAGAGGACCCCGAGGGCGCAGCGGGCTGCTGCTGGTCCACAGCGAGAGAGTTAAGAGCCCGGCTGGGCCGGACGCCCGGCCAGACGCCCAGACCACGCCGCCCGGCGCCGCCGGGTGGCGCACGGCCCGGCCTGCCGCCTCCGCCCCCGCCCCGCGCGAGGCCGCGCCTGCCCTTTCTCTTGCCCGTCTCCAAGATGGCGCCGGGCCCGGGCCCCGCCCCCGGCCCGCCCCACCCCACCCCCCGCGCGGGAGCCGGCCCAACCCCGCCTCCCGCCGCGGGGCCGCGCCGCGCGCGCTCCCGCCGCCCCTCCCCGCGCGAGCTCCACCCAGGTCGCCGGCAGCGCGGTCGGCGGCGCCTGTTTCCCGCCATTGTGCGAAGTGGAGGCTGGGGGCCGCCCGCGCCGCCCGCCCGCCCGCCCGCCCGTCGCCGTCGCCGCCGCCGCCGCCGCCGGGGGGCCGAGGGGTCCGGGGGGCGGGGGGCGGAGAGCCGCGGCTCGCGCTGCGGCGGGGGGAGGGCGCGGACGCCGCGCGGCCGAGCCCCCGAGCAGGAGGAGCCGCGGAGCTGGACGCCGGGCCGCGCCGGCCCCGGCCCGCGGGCGAGATGCCGTGCGGCGAGGACTGGCTCAGCCACCCGCTGGGCATCGTGCAGGGCTTCTTCGGTGAGTGGCGGGCAGCGGGGGCGGGCCGGGACCCCCGAGCGCCGCGCCCCGCGCCCCGCGCCCCGGGCCCGGCCGCCGCCGCCGCCGCCGCCGCCGCGCGGCCCCCTCGCGCGGGGCCAGCTCCGGGGGCGGCTCGCGCGGCCGCGCCGCCCCGCCCCGCCCGGGACCCCCGCGCTCGGCGGCTCGCGGGCGGGCGGGCGGCGGGGCCGGGCCGGGCCGCGGGTGCCCGGGGGTGCCCGGGGGCGGCCGGCGGGGCCGCGGGGGGCCGTTCCGGGGCGCGGCGGGCCGGCCGCGGGGTATTTCCAAACTTCCGGTGCGGCGGGGCAGCGCGCGGCCCCGAAGTTGCTGCAAGTGGGCGCCCCGCGCCCCGCGGCCGCTCTCCGGCGCTTGCGGGGGACTCGGCGCCTGCGGGGCAGCCGGGAGCGGGGCCGAGACGCCGCCGCCGGGTCGCGCCCGTCCCCGGGCGCCGCCGTCCCGCCGCCCCGGCGCCCCGCGTGCGCGCCCGCCCGTCCGTCCGCCCGGCCCGAGCCGCGCGCAGGTCGCGGGGGACGCGGGGTCGCGGCCCCGCGTGGGGGTGGGGGAGGGTCGTCGCGCCCCGCCCCGCCCCGCCCCTCCCGGGCCGGCCCGGGCCCCCGCCGCTCCCGCCCCGACACGGCACGCGCGTGGTTCGTTTCCCCGGAGCGTCCCGGCCCCGCCAAGTTCCTGAGTTTGCCCGGCCGGGACGGGAGGCGGGGGGTCGGGAGAGGGCGCGGGTCGGCCGGGAAGCCTGATGAAGAAGGAAGAGTGGTGTGTGCGTCTGTGTGTGTGTGTGCTCGTGTGTGTGCATGTGTGTGTGGCCAGAGGAGTCTGATACAGAAGAAATAAGTGTGTGTTGTGTGTGTGTGTGTGTGTAAGGCGGAGGCAGCTCTCCAGCCAGGGTGTTCTGAAGAAGGGATCAGAGTGTGTGTGTATGTGTGTGTGTACACACGTGCGGGGGGGCAGGGGAGTCTGATACAGAAGTAAAAGTATGTGTTGTGTGTGTGGAAGGCGGGGCCAGCTCTCCAGCCAGGGTGCTCCGAAGAAGGGATAAAGGTGTGTGTGTGTGTGTGTGTGTGTGGTGCCAAGGGAGTCTGATACAGAAGAAATAAGTGTGTGTTGTGTGTGTGTGTGTGTAAGGCGGAGGCAGCTCTCCAGCCAGGGTGTTCTGAAGAAGGGATCAGAGTGTGTGTGTGAGTGTGTGTGTATGTGTGTGTGTACACACGTGGGGGGGGCAGGGGAGTCTGATACAGAAGTAAAAGTATGTGTTGTGTGTGTGGAAGGCGGGGCCAGCTCTCCAGCCAGGGTGCTCCCAAGAAGGGATAAAGGTGTGTGTGTGTGTGTGTGGTGCCAAGGGAGTCTGATACAGAAGAAATAAGTGTGTGTTGTGTGTGTGTGTGTGTAAGGCGGAGGCAGCTCTCCAGCCATGGTGTTCTGAAGAAGGGATAAAAGTGTGTGGTGTGTGTGTGTGTGTGTGTGTGTGTGTGTGTGTTTGCTTGCTTGCTCTGAAGAAGGGATAAAATGTGTGCGTGCGTGTGTGTGTGTGTGTGTCTGTGTAGGCGCCCTGCAGATGGGACATGTGTGTTCCTCCCGAGTCCCGGTGCCTGAGGTGCCCGGTGGACGCTGGAGGCCATCGCCAGGATTCGGGATCCGGTGCCCTGCACCGCCGGCCTGGGGCCTGGAGCTTCCCACCGACAGCAATTATTTTAGGGAAAATCCAATGCAAGTTGCGATTTGGTGTTTCCAAGGGTGAAGTTGCAGGTTGTGGTATTTTGAGAGCACAGTTACTCGACAGAGTTGGTGTGTTATATAGTGTTGCTAGATGGAGGAGGAGAGGGTTTGTCCTTAGGTGTCGGCTTTCCTTGTGGGTACCAAAAGGTGTGACCCTAAGGGGCATGTGCAAAGAGTTGAGAAAGCCCACTCGGTATAGAAATTGCCAACTTTGGGGGCTGGAGCGATAGCACAGCGGGTAGGGTGTTTGCCTTGCACGCAGACGACCGGGGTTCGATTCCCAGCATCCCATCTGGTCCCCCGAGCACCGCCAGGAGTCATTCCTGAGTGCATGAACCAGGAATAAACCCCTGTGCATCGCTGGGTGTGACCCAAAAAGCAAAAAAAAAAAAAAAAAAAAGAAAGAAATTGCAGACTTTGGGAAACATGTAGGGGAAAAGTTCGCTGTGTAAGTAAGTTGCCGACTTTGCATCTGGTACTTGGTAAATTTGGTGAAATTGTTGTGGGCAGGAGACTTCTCTGGTTTCCCCCTCTTGTGTCCTACTTAGTGCCTTGTATCCTGGAGGAGACTTCGGACCCGAGGTTTGGGAGGTTTGGTAGCTGCTTTTTCCTATGCCTGTGAATTTTTTTTTAAACTTTTATAATAATAGTATTACAGGTTATGTTTGTTGTGAGAAGGGAGTGGTTAAGTTTGTAGACTTGGGCTTAGTCTCAACTTGTTTCACCCCGCAGACAGAAAAGTAACAGGTCTGTTGGGGTTTCTGAGCCCTCCTTGGTTTCAGCCCTGCCCCGCAAAACACCTCCACCGCAAAAATGGTTGGGACCCCCTTCTTTCCAGAGTTTGGTTTTCACTCAGCCTCTCGCCTCAGCAGTTTTCCTGGACTGTCCAGTTTTCCTGCCCACTTCTCTGGTCCTGGCTAAGTCGCCGTCTTGGGGAACCTGTATCGGGCACTCCTTGTTACCACCAGATGCGATGTGCCATGGAGATGGGGTGTAATGTCAGCATTCGAAGCCTCCGTCAGAAGTGGAGTGTGTTGGGTGGTTACTCTGACCACAAATCTTATGCTTAGGACAATCCTGGTGGACCCTCTGATTGAGTTCAGAGAACGTCATACCAGGCGCGAGTTTCTTTACCATGCAAATCCTCTCTCCTTTACCCAGTGATGCTCAGGGCTTACTCCCGACTCTGCAGGGCTTGGGACGCCATATGTGATGTCAGGGATCAAACCCAGCTTGGCTGCGTGCTGGGCAGGCACCTTATCCCCTGCTGTCCTCTGTCTCTGGCCCCAAGTCCGCATTGTTTCTGACCATATCAGGGAAGAAGCTTTGAGACGTGCAAATGGCCAGTCAGTTCATCTTGGTGAACCAGTCTGTATCTGAATTTGTGTCTGCCATAGGCCAAGGGTTCATATGTAAGTTTTCCCTGCAAGGTACAATATCTTTAGTTCCAGGTTTTAAAATGTTTTATATATGAGATACTGAGGTGTAAGATTTAAGACCATCTCCATTGGGCTCAGTTGTGTCTACCCTCCATGTTTGTTCCTTTAATGACCCATATCAGAGAGAGCTTCCCTCAAACTAAGAAGAAATTTTATTTTGTTTTATTTCATTTTACATAGCATTTTTGAATCACATCCAGAGGTGCTTTGGACTTTCTCTTGGCCCTGCACTCAGGGATCATTCCTGGCAGGCCCAATGCAATGCAGGCAGGAATTTTAAATTTATAGTTTATGGGTTGTTTTGTTTTGTTTCGTTTGTTTGTTTCTTGGGTCATGCTTGGTGGTACCCAGGGATCACTCCTGTGGGGGTTTGAGTGCCAGTGATCGAACCTGGGTCAATCACATGCAAGGAAAACCCCTACCTCTGGAACTATCAGACTCCATATACTTTTTAATTTGAAGAGGAAATTTTCTTTTTTGGGTGAGGAGATACTTACCCAGCAATTCTCAAGGACCATTCTTGGCTCTGTGCTCAGGGGTCACTCTGGTGGTCCTCCGAGGACCAGATGTGATGCCGGGTATAGAACTGGGATTAGTTGAATTCAAGATGAGCACTTTAACTCCTGTAATACTTTTCTTTAAAGTGTGTGTGTGAGGCAAGATTGTTTTTAGGCTACACCCAGTAATGCTCAGAGGTTACTCCTGGCTCTGTACTCAGGAATCACTGCTGGGGTGCTTGGTTACCATGTGGAATGGGTGCTGGGGGGTCAAACCCGGGTCAGCTGTGTGCAAGGCAAGTGCCCTATCTTGTTGTTCAATCACTCAGGCCCCCAGAATAATTTTATTATAGGTATTTTATTTTTTTTGGGGGGGGGGGATGGTTTTGACCTCACCTGCTGGTGCTCAGGGGCAGTTCTGGCTCTGCCCAGGAGTGACATCTGGCGTTGCCCAGGCATATATGTGGTGGTGGTGGGGGGGGGGGGGGTTCAAGATGGTTGGCTGGGAGCAAGGTAGTCTCTGCCATATTGCTTGAATTTTTGGGAAATTTATTTATTTATTTATTTATTTATTTTCGTCACGCCCGGCGATGCACAGGGGTTACTCCTGGTTCATGCACTCAGGAATTACTCCTGGCAGTGCTCAGGGGACCCTATGGGATGCTGGGCATCGAACCGGGGTCAGCTGTGCGCAAGGCAAACGCCCTACCTGCTGTGCTATCGCTCCAGCCCTGGAAATTTAAAGCAATAATGAAATCAAATAATAATCACTCTGCTTTATTTAAATTATTGCCTTGATTTGAAATGCAGTTAAATCCGATTTTGTCTGTACCCAACTTTTACTCTCACCTATCATTCGGCCTTGGTAGGTCACTAAAAGAAGTCACCCCAGATTGGTCAGCCAAGCCCCACCAGGACTGAACCCTGAGTACCGAGGGAGGAGTAAGCCCTGAGCACCGCTGGATGTGGTTTCCCTTCCCAAAAAAACAAAATAATTTGTGATAAGGCTGTCAGTAGGTGATTTGGTGTCCTTGGGAGCCAGCTGAGTGGATCTGGACCTGTAGAGCCAGGAGTCCAGGCAGCTACCTTAGGCTTTCCTCGCCTCGGCCACCTCTTATCTTTCTTCACTCCATTCACTCCACAGCTTCCAAGTTTTCTTGTTCTCTGTCGACTTACTTACGTAGGGGTCTTCATGTGAATCTGATCCCTGGCTACAGAGTCTGGTTGATCTGCATGGCGTCCACTCACGAACTAGTCACTGGCCAGCCTCTGGGCAGGATGAGTGAGGCCAGACCAGTGAGGAAGTTTCTTTTTTTTT